ATATATATATATATATATACATAGAAACCAATAAAATGTGTGTGTATATGATATTGAGCTTAAAGTACTAAACCCACATAATATAAACCTATGATAAACATACCTAAGCTTGATGAAGGTCTTCAATAAGCATGACTTGGTAAACTTGCGGATGAAGCTTAAACTTGGATCTTGAACGTGAATTGTATTGCTTCATTCTACTATTCCGCCAACCAACATTAGATATGATCGTGAATACTCGATTCCATCCATCCTCTAACATATTGTTTGTATATAATAAATACAAAAATACAAACACTAGACAAACAATATTAATAGTAAATTATTTGTTAAACATCATCAAAACAAAAAGGCCAACAAACCGTTCTTGATTTACATCAAGGCGATGAACCACTCGTTAAGTGCTTTGCTAGCACAAGATGATGACAACAGTCACGAATAGCTATCTATTACTTAAGTAAAACTTTGGTTGGTGCCGAATCTCGATATCCAACGATTGAGAAGGAATGCCTCGCGTTGGTGTTCGCCATCCAAAAGATGTGGCACTACCTCATTGGACAGACGATCTATGTTATTTCTAATGTTAACCCAATCCGAGTATTCATGACGCAACCGGCCTCTTTGAATTGGTGACTAGCAAAATGTGTCCTACTCTTTTCCTAATACGACATGCACTTCAAACAACAGAAGTCGGTTAAGGGTCAGGTGATTTGTTATCTTCTGGCGGCTAGCCCAACATCTAGAGATGTTAAATGGGTGGGTATGGGTTTAAATGGGCGGGCCATAAATGGGCGGGCATATTTTGCCCATCTACCCATTTATGGCCCATTTAACATTATTTAAATGGGCGGGTTTTTGCCCGCCCATTTATTAAACGGGTCGCCCATTTGCCCATTTAACTATAGTACATATATATGTATAATACTTTTGGGGTGTTTTTTGTAAACTTTTAGGGGGTTTTTTTGTAAACTATTGTGGGCTTTTTGCAAACTTTTTGGGAGCTTTTTGCAAACTTGTTGGGGCTTTTGATAAAATACTAACAAAGATAGGAACATAAACAAAGATAAACAAATGCAGACAAATTTATGATTGAACCATTTACAAGCCTGGATAAAAGTACAGACCTCACACATTTGCAAAATTAACCTCAAATTTCCAAACCAAAAACCAAAAGATCAATAACAACAAAATTGCGAGTATATTTAAATGAATTAAGATAGAAAACACAAGGTATGCAAGGATCTGTATAAGATCAATAACTTGATATAAACGCCATCATAACTATTAGCAACACGATCACGATTAGTAAGGACAATCTACTTAATTACTTGATAAACTAGAAGAGTAGTAAGTTCGTCTATAAACAAAATAGTAGCACAACCATAGTCTACTTATTTCCCATCTTTCAAATGTTCAGGCATGAACAGGATCATGGCAGAAGAAAGAAAAGACCAGAAAACAAAGATCAAAAGGGAGGGATTTTACGAGAAAGTAAATCTTAGCCCCCAAATTGACAATGCTGCGACTGACAATAATCACAACGCAAGGAAACAGTATAAACATATTACAGAACAATTGCCAAACACACCCTAAACAATCAAATAAGTTTCCTTTGTGTCTGATTTGTTGATAAAGTGTGAAGCAACGAAAAGAAAAATTAGTTTCAGATCCCTTTTGAATTGACTTACCTGAATTTAGTTATCCATTTAATATTTGCAAATATATAGGTTCAGTAGAAAAATGATGCTCACACAGGCACTCATCTGCCCACTTCACTTGTTAAGAAGACACGAGGAATAAAATTTGCAAGGATATGCATAGAAAAAAGAACAGAAAAACAAGGAAGGATTACCAATATGATGCAGTGTTCACAACAGAAGTTAACAAGATGCAAAGTTGCAAACAAAATGCCATTGAGCTCAAGAACAATGAAAGTTAGCAAGATGCCATTGCAAGTAACCCAAAATGCCTTTGAACCATGAGGACATCCATGAACAATCCCATCTTCTTTTCAATGACAATACCATGTCAGGATAAAGGAGAACATTTACATAGATAGCAGCAGTCAGGATAAAGGAGAACATTTACATAGATAGCAGCAGTCAGGATAAAGGAGAACATTTACATAGATAGCAGCAGTCAGGATAAAGGAGAACATTTACATAGATAGCAGCAGTCAGCAGTTATGAATGTGAAAGCAGGAAAACAACTCAAACAGCCAACCCCAAAGATTTGTAGAAGGACTTTTGTTCTTGTGCACGTGTAAGAACATTGGGGCACAAGTTAAAGTTTAGAAAAGAAAAAAGACAGATGCACATGAAAGTGGGCAAGTGTGTGTGCACTCACACATGGGCGAGCAGACACACACAGCGAGAGAGATCTTTAGCCTGAATCCCTATATCGAATCACTACAATGTATATAAAACCTTGTTTAACAAGACTTTTAGACCGAAAATCCAATGTTATTTTATGTTTTCATTATTTAAGTATATCACAAATGTCTGTGTGAGAGGTGGCAACAGCAGAAATGAAGGCAATTATCAATCTTGGTAGCAGATAACGAACAGAATGCATTAACATATATCATGATGCAATATCAGAAAACAGACTTTATATTCCTTACTGATTTAGAAAAGGAAATAATTGAAAACTTATTGCTAAAAAGCTGAGAAGCTTCAACCTTAAGAGTCATGTAATCACGGCTCAGAATGTGTCTCCCATCCTTCCCAAATTTAATATCTGAAATTGAAGTAATGATCTCAGTAAAAAATTATCTTGAACCCGGGGCTTCATGCTCTTCAAACCTGTAGGGGTATGTCATCAGCTATGGCGGTAACAAAAGTAAAAACTTGAAATAAAAATTCAAATACTTTTAAGTAAGAACTCCATCGAAACACGTGGCAAATAATCTAGTGAAATGTAAACAAAAGCAATGGTTCACTTACAGCTTAGAGTTATCGCACAAGGCTGATTGCCGCAAATCAATAAGCCGTATTGAGCCTCTATCAAATGTACTATTTATGTACTATAAATGCCTCGTTAACATCTCAATATTCACACTTTAAATCATGAAACAGAGACAACATGTCTCTCTCAGTTTCATTGTTAAAAACTTTCTAGGAATATGACCCATCAAACTATAAAAATTTCCCCAATCAAATACTAAATGATAAAATTCTAAATTGTTTTACCATACAAAACACAGGCAAAGGACAGCCCGAAAACAAAAAGGCAAATGGCACAGGCAAAGGACAGCCCGAAAACAAAAAGGCAAATGGCAAGGCAACTATCAGTCTATCACAAAGGAGAGTATCAGGATTGCGATTACCAGTGAATTTCAAGCTCTTTGAGACCTAAAGGCGGCTTTAAGTGGTCAAGTACATCCTTGTGAGTATCAGGATTGCGATTACGATTCCAACTCATCCACTTCAATTGAAGCTCTCTGAAATGGATTTTGTCCTCTAACTTGGCTTCAAGTACATCATCCTTACTTTTTACATTGTCAAGACATTTAATACAAAGGGACCCTTGAAGCTCCTTCATGCCCTTCAACTGTGCTACGTCATGACCCTTCACCCTTCTAATATGGAATACCTTCAATCCTTGAAGATGTGCGAGTCTACCAATTCCAGCTATCCATGAAATTGCTACCTTGCTTGCATTGAGATGACGCAAATTGACTAGATTTGTGATTCCTTTGGGCAAGTTGTGAGGCAGTATTAGTGACTGAAGATGGTAAAGCTTGCACAATGATTTGGGTAAACTACAAATGTAGTTTCCATAGAGATTCAAGTAGCGGAGATGTATAAGATCGCCTATAGAATCAGGCAACTGCGTCATATAACTGTGAGATAAATCTAGCACTTGAATTATTTTCAGAACCTCAAAACTGTATGGAATGCTTTGTGTTAATAATAAGGGTCTGCAGATTCTTCCACTCTAACTCTGAATTAAGGCCATCCCATAATGAAAGAGACAAGTAGCAGACATCTCTTCGAGTTCCATCCAATTTCCTACCTCTATAAACTAAAATGTCATCAAAACATATAGACTGCAAAGGTAGTTGCTCAAAGAATGACCTGGATAGTAAGTGATCAAAGTATTCCTTTCCATTATCCTCCATTAGAATCAGTCCTTGAGCCATCCATATTTGGATTAGTTTATCAATGTCAAATGCATAACCTTTGGAAAAAACCGAACAATAAGAAAAGCATTGCTGAAGGTGCAAAGGCCTTATCCAATTCCAATGATTCGCTTTGTAAAATGCTCATCCAGTACTCGCAATTTAGCTTCTCTCTTAATGCTCCTCCAACCAACTATGCTGCCAGAGGGAATCTCTGCAACTTATCAGTTATTCCTCTGCCAATGCCCTCTAAATCTGGATACGTATTAGGATCTTCATCACCAAATGAAACTGCTAGTAGTAAGCCGGCACTGATATCCATTGCTTAAACTGATCTCTGAATCATGAAACGTACCATTTTTTTTAATACATGACGACCTTTCAGTGAAATTACTCCAGTTACATAGATTACAAAATCTCATATAACAAATGAGAGATGAACTGAAAAGCGAAAACATTATTGCTTACACTTTGTAGAATAATGTACAATAATTGGCTTCATGTAACACCAAAGAGCACCAAATTACAATTTATGTACTACTTATAAACCTCTTAAATGGGTACAACAACAAAAGATATGTGTAATCATTTAATGGAAGGCAATTCAAATACCCACTATTGCAAACTTTATTTTTACTACATTTCTATATAGATAATAGACAAAGGCACAATTTTAATTCAAGAATAGCATTATATCTTCAAGAATCTATCATAATTTTGTGCAAATTATGCTAAACTTGATTAGAATAGACTCTAGTTTAGAAAAAATAAGAACAATTTAAACAAATCAACTGAACTTCATGAAAAAATAAGAATAGACTCTAGTTTAGAAAAACTTGATTAGAATAGACTGTAGTTTAGAATAGCCGATCTATTTATGTAATCTCCTTGATTAGAATAGACTCTAGTTTAGAAAAAATAAGAACAATTTAAACAAATCAACTGACCAAGAGAGCTCGCGGACGAGGGCGGCTAGGGCTTCGGGATTGACTCCGCGATCGCAGAGGGAGATGATGAGAGAGAGGGTGATGCCAGGTCGGAGGCGGCGTCGGAGGCGGCGTCGGAGGCAGAGGAGGAGGCGGAGGAGGAGGCGGCGTCGGAGGCAGAGGAGGAGGCGGAGGAGGAGGGATCAATGAGAACTCAACCGCCAGAGAGAAAGAGGAAGAGATTGACGGGGGTTCTAGGTTTTTCTTTTGGAACGCGGGCGGGCAAATGGGCACATATACACCGCCCATTTAGTACCCGTTTAGTGTGGATTAAAATGAACCCGCCCAATTAGACCCATTTAACTAAATGGGTGGGTTTTGGGCGGGCTAAGTGGTAGGCGGGTCGGGTGGGTAAATGGGTATGGGCAGAAATTGCCTTCCCTACCAACATCGGATACATCCAAGCTCTATGAAGATTTGCCAAATGAAACCCACAAAGTTAACACCACCTCTCATCAGTAGGTATGGCAATTGTACTTCGATAGTGGTTCCTGAGCAACTAATGTGGCAAGTGTTCCCGGATGTTCTAAAATTTCATCAGGAGTTAGAGTTGTCTTAGTTTCCCTAGAGAAACATGTGATGCCTCGAGCTTATTCACTCACCGAACCGTATTCTAATAATGTAGCTAAATACAACACGTTGCTCATTGGGCTCAGTTTTGCCAAAGAGCTGGGGGTCAAATATCTCGAAGCTTTTGGTGATTCTCAACTGATAGTCAACCAAATTCGAGGAGAGTAAGAAGTCAGGAATCAAGATCTGATATCGTACCACAAGTCAGCCATCGAGATTGCCAGTTCGTTCGAAGAATTCGTCATCAAATATATTCTGTGTCTCCTGAATGCATACGCAGATGCACTGGTAGCATTATCGGTATCTCTGGCACTGTCTCCTGACACAGAACAATGGGTCACTGTGAGAACTCACCAACTCTTCATACCAGACTGCATCTTGGACATCAAAGTGGCTCACTCGGCTAGAATTGAACGTGTGCCTCGAGATTGGTGATTTCCTATTATTGACTACGCCGTGCATGGTATTTTGCTAGAAGACATAAACGAAAGAGATTCTATTATAACACAATGACCCAAACGCTATATCATCAAGCGTATGATGGTCTCCCACTCCGATGTCCTTCAACCAGGAAAGCAGAAGAAGCTCTTAAGGAAGCGCATAACGGAATCTGTGGGGCACACCAACCTGTCCCCAAACTCTGTGATCATCTCAAAAGGATGGGTATTATTAGCTAACCATGGTTAAAAATGCGGTTAACTATGCCCGACAGTGCCACGCGTGTCAAATATACACAAATTACATGCACCAACCCCCGAAACACCTGCACCCTTCGGCTACTTCATGGCCATTCGAGACATGGGAAATGAACATTGTGGGTCCTCTTTTTCCACCATCAGCCAAAGATGACTGTTTCATTCTGTTAATCACTGATTACTTCTCGAAATGGGCTAAAGCAGTTCCACTCAAAGAACTGAAGACAAGCATAATCATCAAGTTCATTAAACATTTCATCATTTACCGATATGGCATTTAAGACGAATCGTGCATGACAACGACCCTCAATTTGTTAGCAATTCATTCATCAAATTTTACGGTAAGTTCAGGATTGAAAACATCTCGTCGACGGCATACAATCCCACGTTGAATGAATTGGCTGAAGCGTTCAACAAGATAATCATAAAGATTTTGTTAAATTCGTGAGGACACACAAGCGAGATTGGGATGACAAACTCAGCGAAGCTCTTTTGACCTATCACCCCACAGTCCGCATGCCTACCGGAGCGACTCCCTACTCTCTAGCATATGGATGCGAGGCTGTTCTTCCCTTGAAAATCTAAATTCCATCCCTTCGCATTGCTCACGCAATAGGGATGACAATGGAGGAACAACATCAGAAACGTCTCAAAGAACTTAAGATGTTAGACGAAAAGCATTTGGAAGCTTAGCAGCAAATTGAGTTTTACTAGGTCAGAATCTCTCAGGCTTTTGATAAAAGAGTCCGACAATGAAGCTTCAAGGAAGAAAACTTAGTTCTCTCCGTTCGGTGACCAATGATACTTAACTCCAAGTAGAAAGGAAAATTTCAATCCAAATGGGAAGGACCGTTTATGATAGAGATAGTCTACTTAAATGGTGCATATCGCTTAATCACCCAAGATGGTGACAAGCTCATGATGTCAATAAATAGGAAGTTTCTAAAAAAGTACTATCCCTAGTACATTCAGGATAACCTATTTAATGGGAAGTTCCTGGAGAATACTATGCAGGGTATTCTTAAGGATAACTCGAGATCAGCTGATTATTCAAGTTGAAGACCAGTCATCTAAATAATTCATCTTTAATCATATTTAAGAAATAATTAAGAACCTCCTACGGTGGCTAATCAATCATTTCCAAAATGATTAAAACCCTCCCACTGTGACATTCCGAGCACTCTTTCATTGAGATGAGATTTAATGACTTCATTCGGTCAATCTTCCCTCACAAAACCCCCATGATGTAATTGTGGAATGCTTGATGAGTCACGGTCCTCAACAACAAAGTCCCTAACTGATCAAATTAATTAATAGTGGGTCCAAAAATTTCTTTCGGCTGAGTCCATCCAGACTCCCACTGTGTTTGTGCACTTAACACTCCTAATGTTAAAATCCCTAATGCAGTACTCAAAAGTTTAAGCTACTGATCCTGGTAATTAGCAAACTTATTTAATGTTAAGTCCCTGTCACTTGACACTGAAAACCCCCCACTTAGTGATTCGTACAAATCAACATTCCTATTTGTATCTTCACTCCCATTGTCTCTTAGTCAAACCTTCCTATAGTTAGGACCAAAACCAAAATTCCCTCTCGATTCCTTCAATGAATGAGAGGTCTACTTACAAATCAGACTTCCCTTTTGATAAACGAAAGGCCTCTGCCCAAGTTAAACGATCAAACCTATAAAAGTTAGGGTCGTCTAGATAACCCACCTAGTCAAACAATCAAATGGCTATGACCACAATCGGAATTCCTTTTTGATGAATGAAAGACCTCCACTTTTTTTCCCTTTAGTCAAACCTATAAAAGTTAGGGCCAAAGTCAAAATTTTGTCTCGATAAATAAGAAATTTATTTCCAGATCAGGTAACCAATCCTATAAAAGTTAGGGTTATCTGAATCTTTTCAATTCTCGAAGTGGAGATCCCACTCTTAGTTTCACCTTCCAGATTCTCGAAGTAGAGATTCCACATTGAGTTTCTTTTGCAGCAGGAGATAGAATATAAAGTTCTTCCTCTTCAGCAATGGGTTCGTCTTTACACCAAAACAAGGCCTGGAGATAGAATATAAAATTCTTCCTCTTTAGTACCAGGTTCGTCTTTGCCCTAAGAGAAGACATAATCTTTCAACATCCAAAATCCATGTCTCACATGCATGGGGGACTTAATCTCAATCACTGAATAGAGATAAGTCTACGTTAACACGTGTTGCCGGTTTGTCTTTTCTCGTAAAAAGGACGAAGCTTATGTATTTAATATCATAGAACCAAGTCTAAGAGAGTTCATTCTCGCAGCACAACGTCACATGTGAAACGAATTTAGATAATTCACATGCAAACCCGATTAAAACGGTAATCGGTAAAAGCATATCAAATCCGTTGATAGCTGAGGGTTTGCCAAAAATCCTAAAGTCTGCGCCTAACACGTGTTGTCGGGTAGTCTATTCCCATGATAAATGACGAAGTCTACATATTTGATATCGTAGCACTAAGTCTAAGAGAGTTTATTCTTTTAGCGTAACGTTATATGTGAAACGGACTTAGATAATTCATATGCTAGGCCGATTCAAACGATGATCGGTAAAGTCATATGAAACCCGTTGATGGTTGAGGGTTTGCCAAAAATCCTATAAGTATTATGGTTAATTATTCCAAATAGAATGAGAGATCATAATAAAAATACAATGAGTAAAGAAATGCCTTTTATTAATCGAGTCTGTAGATTTAATAATTGCAATCATTCTACATGAAACTTATGACTAAGGACTTGTTGTTCTAATTTAGACAACTCCTCCGCATTGACCTTTAAGGATTTCTCGGTGGCAGATAATGTCTTAGCGGCCTCTTCTTCCATCTTAACTAGTTTCTGCTCCAAGAGTTCCAACTTCACGGATATCACAACCTGTGAATGCTCTAGATCGACCCTCGTCATTTCTAAGATTACCAAAGCATCCTCCTCTGCCTTGAGCTTCTCCTTAAGTCGCTCTATCTTGGCCTTGCTCGATGCAATAGAATATTTAAGTTGATGCAGAGTTGTTCATTTCTCAGCGAGGGCAGCTTCATTTGATCCACCCGACTTTGTTGTGTTTGAATTTCGAGTCTAGCAGAGGCTCGAGTATCGCACCATATTTGTAGATGAGATTTCATCTGAGTGGCTATGTATGATGGAGCACCGACAGCTTTGAATTATTATAACTTTTGAAATTCACGCTCTAGACGATCCAAATCATCAACTACAGCTTTTGCCAGGTCTGGAGATCCCGCACTCTGTATTGCATTTTTTTGATAGCCAGGGCTGGTCTGAACTAATGGAAGGAAAGCCTCCTGAGAAGGAGCTTATCGATCATCACACCCACAAAGAAAACGAAGGAACTGATTTCCATACAGAGCAGGGTTTGATTTGGGTCATTGTCCGACAGCAGCGTCTTGACAAGATTGTGAAGCTGAGACAGAGCCCTACGAGGAAGAAAAGAGATAAATGTTTTGAAATATGAAATATTTCTAAATCAAATAGCAACGTGGAACTTACCAATGCTTGCAGAGCTTTCTTTAGTTAAATGCCCCACACTTGGTTCCGTCTGCCCGAGCTCATGAACGGGTGAAAGTACTTCAGGTGTAAAAACAATTGATGCACCAACTTCTTTAGTTGGTCTCACATCTTGTTCAATAAAGCTTGCACTCACAGTTGCG